ACTGGGAGACCCTGGGGGGGAGGGGATGTGGGTCTGAGTCCCTGGCCCCTGGGGGAGGGGAACCCCTGGATGGGATGTGGACCATCATCCCTGGGGAAAGGGGAGTGTTGGTGCCCTCCAGGGGATGATTTGTGTCAGGCTCCCCAGTTCTGAGGTCTAAATAATACTTTGTCCCTGCCAGGCGTGTGGGGCGCTGGGCTGGATGGTTCTATCCCTGAGGGTGGAGAAAGGCTCCTGTAGGGGAGGAATGGGAGTGAGTCTCCCTATCCTGGGAGGGGGCACGCTGTTGGGGTATATCCTCCCCCACTCCCGAGAAAGTAGGGAGCAGCTCCGGTGCCTGATGAGGGAGACCCTTTGGGGGGTATGATATTTGGCAGGCGAAGGGACTGGAGGTAGGCAAAAGAAGAAGGCTGGTACTGGGCCTGTTTTTGCAGAGCTGTAATTCTGACCAAGCTCTTATAACTGTGAGGGCTGTGCACAGGTGTTGTTCAGGCTCTGCGGCTTGTTAGTCTTTAAAGTGCTACATAGTCCTGTATTTTGTTGCGGCTATCTCTGGTGAGGGATGCAGTAGCTGTTTATTCATGTATCCCTCACCTATGACCAGCTGATCACAGAAATTTTCCTTCTCTTTAAGGAGCGAGATTAGGAGGCTCGGAGTCCTAGTCCCAGTCGTCTTTATGAATTCCGGGGGGCCGTGCGGTGTAGCTTTGTGGCAAATGGGGACATCTTAGATGCTCTCAGATTTGGGCTGATATTACCATCGAACTAAGACAAACTCCCCTTGAGTGGCCCTGTCTGACCTAGTCTGATGGAACAGGGGATCCATAATAACATGCAGTCACTTCTGTGCCTAGCCGAGTGGTTCCAATTTATTATGGGCTGAGTGAGCCAAAGCTGTTGCCATCATGATCGGATGGTCACAAAAAACCCGCCAGCCTGTATAGGCTCCGCACTGGAGACTGAGAACTGAACTTTGTATGTGTATAATTGAACTGCAAAAGTTAGAGATGGAAAAACACTATTTAATTCAATAAAGACAAATGCAATATAGTCCACTTAAGGAACAATCAGTTGCATACATACAAAATGGGAAGTGACTGCCTAGGGAGGAGTACTGCAGAAAGGGATCTAGGGTTCATAGTGTACCACAAGCTAAATATGAGTCAACAATGTGACACTTGCAAAAAAAAAAAAATTCTAGGATGTATTAACAGGAGTGTTGGAAGCAAGATATGAGAAGTAATTCCTCTCTACTCTGTGCTGATGAGGTCTGAGCTGGAGTATTGTGTCCAGTTCAGGAAAGATGTGGCCAAATTGGAGAAGGCCCTGAGAAGATCAATAAAAATGATGAAAGGTTTAGAAAACATGACCTATGAGGGAAGACTGAAATAATATGTTTAGTTTGGAAAAGAGAAGACTGAGAGGGGATCGCAGTTTTCAAGTACTTAAAAGGTTGTTACAAAGAGAAGGGAGAAACATTATTCTCTTCAACCTCTGATGATAGGACAAGAAGCAATGGGCTTAAATTGCTGCAGGAGAGGTTTATGCTGGACGTTAGGAAAAACTCTCTTAACTGTCACTGGAATAAATTGCCTAGAGAGGTTGTGGAATCTCCATCTTTGTAGATTTTTAAGAGCAGGTTGGACAGGCACTTGTCAGGGATGATCTAAATCCTTCTGCGAGTGCACCTGATTACCTCTTAAGGTTCCTTCCAGTTCTAGTAGTCTATGAGTCTCCACTCCATTTCTCTGCAAATTCAGTTCATCTCCTGACGCCTGGACTGGTTGAAACATCCTAAGCCAGAGATACTTAATAGGCCGCATGCAGATCAAATGTGGCCCATCAGCTCATCTTAAAAACATATTTATAATTAAATTTGAGAACAGCGTTATGCTGCCTATCATTTGCCTGTCATTTCCTTAGTAAGTAACATACTGAATCTGAAATTCTTGTGAGAACATTGACCCTGCCTATTTTTTTCATTACTGATGGAAATGGAGCAAAAAATGATTGCAAATGGGAGCAACCATCATGAAGTCAACAGTGAAAACTGAGCTTTTAACACTAACAGCGGATTTTCTTTTTATTACGCCATCTCGTTGAAATGCAAAGTTTTTGGTTTTAGTATGCCAAGCCAGTACCGCAGTCTAAGGTCATCACTGTGAGGTACCATTTTGAATCCAAGCACAGTAATTTCAACTGAAGTCTTTGCGTCACTCTTCAGATGTCGTTCTCATAACATCAGTGACTGGACAGAAGAAAACAAGAACTGCTTTACTTCAGATAATGATGGTACTAACTAAAAAGAAAAGTGTTTTCCAGGATGCTGAGCTTGTGAAGGAGTCAGTGTTCCCTAAATCTTTTCCATCCACGTGTGAGTTTTTTCCATCCATGTGTGGAATAAATTGTGTGATGTGCACTGGGGCATGTGAAAATGTGCATCACCGATATAAACACAAAACCGAGCTGTGGGCACTCTGCTAATCAGGTGGACAGCACCTGACTTTCTTCTGTGCGGCCGCACAAACACAGTTTTCAGGAGTGCATGCGGGAGGAGCTTTTTGCTGGAGATAAAAACAAAGATGACGTTGCGAACACCACGTGAAGCAAGTTTCCAACCTGATTCCATGGTGATCTGAAGATTGGAGGTAATTTACAAGCGCGAACACCACGTGAAGCAAGTTTCCAATCTGATTCCATGATGATATGAAGATTGGAGGTAATTTACAAGCATGGTTTTCAGTCTGAAAGCAATGCTGATAAACAATCAGAAACATCTCTCTTGCAGTAGAGAACTCAAGCTTAGTTCAGTTGATGCTGCCCCGCTATCTCTCTGTGTTATAGTTTTATGACGGTGACATTTTCAAGAAGAGTTTTTGTGCTTAATACCATGGGAACCTATGCAGGAGAGAGCGTTTCTGAAAAAGTAACAGGCTTTGTTGAAAAAGTCTGCGGAAAGTTAATGTGCCTGTGACAGATGGAGGTTCCTCCATGAGAGAGAAAGGAAAGGGCTTTGCTTCATGTTTGCCTTCATTAAATACACTTCATTGCATCATTCTCCAGACTGTCCTTTGCGTTGAGCTGTCTGGAAACTTGGGAGAAAAATGAATATTGTGACAAGATTAGTAAACTGCCTGTGCTCAACGTCTAGCTTGCAACGTCCGTCTTTTGACAGCTGAAGTTTTGTTTGTTTGGGGTGGGGGGTTGTCAGCCTTCTGCGCGACTAGCCGCCTCATCATAACATTCTCCAACCGACCTGCATGTGGATTTCATTGAGCACCACCATGTGGCTTCCCTTTGCCTTCCTTAGGCTGTGAAATCACCTTCCCAGCAGATCTGATGATTGGGAAATGAATCCTGGTTAGCACCGGCCAATGCTTGTGAGCTGTTGAAAGGCGGGTGTGTCGCTCTGCAGCCCGGCACTCAGGGCCCTGGTGTGTAATGCGGGTTTCTCTTGCTCCACTTGCTTCAGACTAGCGGTTTTCGTCACAGGTTGCTCCAAATCAGACCTGGTAAGGCGCTGAAGCCACGTCCCCAGGCAGGACCTGAACTGCCCAGCTATGGCCAATCTTTCTGGCCCTAAAACCTTCCCGACCGAAGTTTAATGGGAGCTGCTAGGTCTCCGTGAAACATTTTGCCTTTGATGAGCTCTTGTTTCAGTGAACTTGTTCCTGCAGAGTCTGCGTGTTCCCTCCCCACTAACCTCCTGGCTAACGCGCCAGAGAATCCTCCCCTCAGCTGCCGCTCCACCAGTGCGTCTTCCTGGGGGTCAAAAAAGTGAATCAGATGCTAGGGCCACCCGCCTGGCACCTCTCCCCAGCTGGAACCTCTTAGGACTGGAAACCATCGGCCTCCCAGCGGCACTGCCATCTGAGAACAGGGCAGGAAGGTCTCCCCATTCGGATCCGTTCTCTCGGCTGCCTGGCCCTTTGCTCCAGCCCAGGCAGACCCTAGCACGCTCTGTCCAAGCTCAACACCAAATCTCTTCACCACCGAACGAGCCCGCTCCGATGGTTGTTGGAGGAAGCAGGTGGGAATCTCGTTGACTTGTCACTGCCTGATGTCACCTACGGACTCCTCCCTCTGGGCATAGTCAAGGCTGTTCTGAGCCAAGTATGTGAATGTGGAGAACTGGCGGATGAGATGTGGGGGCTGGTTCCAGTCCTTTCAGCGTGGTGGGAGCGGCAGGAAGTAATGGTCACACTAAAGAGATGGTTTTCTCCCTTGTTGCCTCCTTGCAAAAGGTGCCTGATGCAGGTAGGGGCTGCGGTCCCTGCGGAATAGCTGTTCTCTTTTCTCCGTGCACAGTCAACCTGTGGAACTCCTTGCCAGAGGATGCGGTGAAGGCTAGAACTTTTAACTGGGTTCAAAAAAGAGCTAGCTAGATTCATGGAGGTGAGGTCCATCAATGGCTATTAGCCAGGATAGGTAAGAATGGTGTCCCTGGCCTCTGTTTCTCTGGAAGTGGGTGATGTAGTTTGCCTGAGTAACTACAGGCGACTGGGGAAGGATCGTGTGAGGTTTACCGGTTGTGATCCCTCCCTCTGAGGCATCTGGTATAGGCCACTGTTTGCAGAGAGGACGCTGGACTAGATGGACCTTGGGTCAGAGCCGGTCTGACCATTCTTATGCTCCTGCCCTTGATGTTGCTAGCAATCGGCTCAGCCTGGCCCCTGGTGCTCAGAAATCTCCGGGATACAGAGGATGGCTCGGTGTGGCCACTGCTGGGTCTAGCTGGTCTGTCTGAGGCCATCGGTTGTCTGAGTGAGTCGCGATGCCCCCGGGGGGGGGACGACGGCACTGGGCAGTGATGGGGTTT